CCATCTTTTAGCTACAGTATATGGGTTTACCCCAATTTTTATATATTAGCAGGTCAACATTTGCTTATTAGCACAACATGCTAATAAGCAATAATAATAAGCACAGTCCATTCACAACGTGTTTGAGACCCTTGAGACCAGTTGTCTTCCTAACATTAACATATTTAATGTATTGTTAATGCTGCCCTCTGGCATATTTCAGTTAGACCAAAGTAGTAGAGAGACTGACAGACAAGCACAATGATCCACAGAACGATGTTGCTATCATATATTTTTCGAGCACCAGTCACAAACAGTATTATCAAACTGATGCCAGGCGATTCAGTACATTAGACAAACACAGTCAGTGTCACCTGACTCTTGACCCATCTGACTGGCATTGTGTTTGTGCCAGATAAAATTTGCAAAAACATACTTGAATTCATGTGGCCTAGTAATGCGCATCCACACACACACACACACACACACACACACAAACACACACACACACACACATAAAAGCCCCAGTTAAAGAAAACAGGATTACTGAACAATCAGGCCAAGAAGCCTTTTCATCTGAGAGGAGCAGAATCAATAAGCAAGGCTTTCTATGAGAGTCAACAAGTCCAGACATGGGCCAAACTCAATCACTGTAAGAGCTGTTTTCACAAAACCACTTCGTGTTCATCGTGTTTCACAGAAGTGAAGTTTGAGTGGGAGAATGTCCGCACTTTCAAAAAGCACAGATTACAGCATTTATTCAGAGTAAATTAAGCTTGGTGTGGAGTTTAGTCTAGTACTCCTGGCACCACCGCAGTGCCTTTTCTCTGAATCACGTGTTGCCCTGTGACTTAAGCCTGAGAGCCTTTCCATGGCTTCAGTGTAAAGTGAAACAAGCAGACAGCAAACAGATTGCTTCTACCATAGCACAACATGCAGGAAGAGAGAGCTTGTGGCCTCTGCTTGTTTCGCATTTTGCAATGATGCAAAACCAGTGGAGCAGTGAACAGTTCTGATTCAGGCATTTGCAAATAGCTGCAACAGATTGATGGGACATAACTGTACAAAGGAAAAGCTTTCCCCCTTTTTTATAACTTCTATTAAACATATTTAAGTTCACTTTGTAAAGTTCATCCATCCATTTTTTTCCACTTTTCCAATTCGGGGTCATGGCGCAGGCTGGAGCCATTCCCAGCTGCCATAGGGCAAGAGGTGGGGTTCACATTGAACAGGTGTGTTGCAGGGATAACGAACTTAATAATGAACTTACTGATTCAGAACAGCTCAATTTATCATTAATACACTGTCTCTGCCTACACTGAAAATCCTTTTCAGCTATTAAAAATGCAGCATGTGGGATTTAGTGGTATCTTGTGGTGAGGTTGCATACTGCAACCAATTTAATACCTCTCACCTCATCCTGTCCTTGCAAAATGAGAACCTACAGTAGTACCCTCACGCAAATTCAAAAACAACCCTCTCAAGAAGGTATTTGGTTTGTCCAATCTGGGCTACTGTAGAAACAATACTGGTGTGGCATGGCAGACTCGTTGGAAGAATACCCTCTGAAACAGAGTTGCAGAGTTTATTTTTATTTTACAGAAACATTTTTTAACCAATACATGGCAGAAGGTGAAGTCAGGCCTAAAAACTCCTACAAGCTGTTAAAATATTTCAGTTTATAAGGGTTGAGAATAAAACCCTCATCTCTAAGTTCAATTAAAATGTTAAAAAAAAATTCATAATAATTAATCATTCTTAATAATTTATGAAATTGACCTCGTTCTAGCTTTCTTTGTTTTATGTTGTATATGTACTGTTACGCTGCTTGGCCAAAGTCTCAAATAATGAAGTCACTGTATGTAGAAGTTTTTTTGTTTTTTTGGGGTGGGGTGGGGGGCTCTTGGCTCTTTATATACAGGTCCTTCTCAAAAAATGAGCATATTGTGATAAAGTGCATTATTTTCTGTAATGTACTGATAAACATTAGACTTTCATATATTTTAGATTCATTACACACAACTGAAGTAGTTCAAGCCTTTTATTGTTTTAACATTGATGATTTTGGCATACAGCTCATGAAAACCCAAAAATTCATCAGCTACCTCACAGTAGTAGCGAGGTCTCATTGGCTGTAACCCAATTCAGGGATACAGCCAATGGCTGCAGCCTTAAAGGCTGCATTTTAAGGCCGATTACGTCATAGCGACACGACGAAGGCTGTCCCAATTCAAAGGCTGCTCGAAATGCGGCCCTCAAATGCGTCCTTCATTTCCCTGAATTTTAAGGATGTGGCGGTGTAGACTTCGTGGCCCAACATATCCCAGAATGCATAGCGCGGCGGTGGGTGTGGATAATTTTGCCGAAAAAAAACGGCGGATGAGGGGCGCCCAAAGAGTAAACTTTAAGTAAGTACTGAATATTATGTCACTTATTTATGTGCAAATGTTTATTAACGAAGAACATTAAAACATTACTGTTGGCCACATGTCGGCAAAGTTATGTGACATTAGTGACGTTTGAACTAACTTGGTTTTAAAGCCTTTAAAATGTACGCCGTTCAATAGCTGACCTTAATCTTACACAGAATGATCAAAGCTCATGTAGCAACAAACAAACAAATGAACAAAAGATTTTCTCCTTCATTTCTGTCAAACAAAGCTGTATGAAACGTTTCCAGCTGTTAGTATCATGGTTGCTAGGCAACCTGGGCAACGCGACGGAGGCTAGACCGTCCCATTTCACAAGCCTCTCACTTCCGGCCTTAGCGGTCTTTGAGTACGCGGCCCTTGTGGACCGTTAAGGCTGCGTACTTTAAGGCTGCAGACCCTGAATTGGGATACAGCCCTTGTCTCTCGCTGTTAATGTTTTTGTCTCACTAGTTTTCTCGCTTTCAATTAACTTCACCTGCAGTGTAATCTACTGGATGCTGGCTGCACCTACTAACATTCACCAAGCCTGCTTGGAAACTCCTGGAAAAACGCTACTACTCATGGGACTCACCTGCGTGCTGTCACTCCTGGATTCCTGTAATCACCAGGTTGGGAAATCTGGAACCTTTCATGCATCCCACCATTCAGATAGATGCTCACTCTATCCCTAACCCCCACGTGCAAGTAAGCCTAAACCGATTAAATTCATACTCACCTTCAGCCACCTGTGCAGCTCTGGATCTAACCACCCTCTCCTATATTTCAGTGCCTCCACGTTAGAGAACCTTGCTGCGTTTCTCTCGTCACCCTTTGTACATATTCCCGTAAAACATCAGCTTTTTTTGTTCATTTAGTCTGTCAGTCACACACTCCTATGACATAATGGAGATGAGCATACAAGGTTTCCCAATATCAGTTTTTGTTTCGCACTGAGTAACAATCAAGGGAAAACGACCCTGATTTTTACAGCATTGTACTTTTAACATAGACTTTAAATCACTGAGGTAGAGGCACACGTTCTTCTTCACGTCATACAAGTTCATGAATGTATTTGAGAGATGGTCAGCAATGCTGGAAGTATCACAGCAGAAACTTTCCAAGCTGTTTCGATGCACTGAATGAGGCAGCGCGAACTGCTGCAAATCAACAAGGAAATCTCCCTGCAAGGTTGGATATAAGAATCCCTGAAAACCAAAATAAAAACAAGGAATAACAATGAAATGCTATCCCTCGGGGTTTCGAGCGTCACTTTGTTTGCTTTACGCTCTATTCTGAGTGTGCGTGGTGCAATCCGAACCCTCTGCGGCCGTCAGAGTATCTATAGATCAGCGAGGCGGGTTTACACTCAGACTTAGCTGTAAACAAGGCCCATCCAGAGACCATGGCTGACCCAGCACCGCACATCCCCAAATATCTGATTCATCCCTTCAAAAGGCCAAGAGCAAACTTCTCAGCAGCTGCATGCTGAATCCCCAATAAATCCACCAGACCAAAAGCTTTGAATCGTGCTATGAAAACGAGGATGCAGGTGGCTGGAGTGGAGTTTAGTGCAATACATACTTTCCAGACAAGCCAAACAAAACACACACACACACACACTTCTCTCCTTCCTCTTTCCCTTGCTTCTCAAAGGCGATTTGCAGGGAGGAAGAAAGCACTCGGAAGCGGCGGCCTTTTGTTCTTGGATACTTTTGCATGAGGGAGGAGAGTGTGTTTTGTTTATGCGACAACACAGTGTTGCCATTAAGGCTTTAATCAGAACTGTTTTCTGCAGTCAGCCTGGAATGACACCCCTCTTTCTCCGATTTGGTTCCCACCGGAGGAGCAAACAGGAGGAGGAAGAAAGGAGCGGGGAATGTGGGAATGTCTCTACATCGTCGCCACGGCGGGCAGCTCCTAAACATGGCTTTAAATTAGGGGAAAAGAAAACACAAGCTAAAAAAAGGCAGGCGCTTAACTATACTCCTGCCTGCTAATTTGTCACCACTTGAAAAACAGGGGAAAAAATAGCAACAGTTTTAAATCACACTATTTTAAAGTCAGGGTATGCCAGCCAGTGTGCATGGTAGAATGCTTAAACACAAGGGAGATTTAGGTCACCTCCGTCAAAGTTACACATACATCTGAACCACTGTCAGTGGACTCTATGGAGTTCTGGCTGCGTTCATATTAGAGAGAAGCAGAAATGGAGAACACTCAGTGTCTGGTTCTGGTTGGCTGGCTGGGATCTGACTAGTGACAGCTGGGGCTTGAAAGCCTTACATCCAAAGCCAGGGCTCGATGCCACTTGCTACATAGCAGCGCTGAGCTAAGCCCACCCCCTCCTGTCCAAGCCCTCACTCAAAAAGATCACTGTACTGGACAAAACATCAGGCTCCTGCCAAATAAAGGATCATCTCTTTAAAGTCAGAGAGCGGGAGGGGTGCTGGAGGCAAGACAAAATGGCAGTACGGTCGATCTGTCTGCTGCCACGTCTGAGACGAGGAAGGGGGTCACGGAGGGAGGAGTTTCTCAGACCATTAAACAAACAAACAAACAAAAAAAAGCTAAATTCAACACCACCTGTGTGTCAGTGTGCGCAATCCATACCTTGTCGGGCAGTGGCAGACAGTGATGTACCCTGTGCTCCAGTTTGACGATGGTGATGAAGTCACTCTCTTGTCGTTCATCCTCACTTGTGTTGCAAAGAGACAGAGGATGATACTGCAAAAAAAAGGAGAGAGAGCAAGGGGTTAGCAATATTTTTTCTTTGCAGTACTTGCTACAATGCACACTCCAGAAGCACGAGCACAAAGTACACAAACAATGAATCTGGGAATGATGTACGGCTTACTGAACTTTCTTTAGAAATGATGTAAATGAGGCAAAATTACTCAATCACACTGAGTGCATGCAGAAGCAGTAGAGACAATTTAAGGCATTAACTATTACAGAATCACCAAAGCTTTCTGATATATTCAAGTGTAGTTTGGTGGGGGTTTTGCCATTACAAGGGCCTACTTAAATTTAGATTTCATTTTTTTAAATGAAATAGTAGATAAATAACTCAGTGTTATCATATCTACATTTTTCCATATCTACCCAAAAGACAACCTAAAGTGTGTGACCTCAAACCAAAAGCAAAAAAGAAAAAGAAATGTTCACAAAGATGCTTTAAAAGACAGTCTGCACAAAAATGCTAAAGCTCTTTTTCACACCACTAGAGAACAACAATTGCAATTTATGGAAGCCTTTATGTGTTAAATTAAATGGTTTCTTCCTAAACCATACCCAGGCTGACATCAAGAGGAAAACTTTGGCACCCTACAAAATCAATGACATGGATGGCAGTATTCACTCCCACTTAAAGCCTTGAGGACTGAAAGAATGAGAGATAGTCAATCTTTAGTGGAACATTTGATCCCTTCTGAAAGGAAGGAAATTCTGAGCTGCTGAAAGGCTGCATTTAAGAGCTCAAGGGATCGCAGCAGTGCTTGCAAGTCACAGACATGCTGTCACGGGCACAGGGAGTTGCACGGCAGTCGGGAAAACAGCATCGCTAATTTGCCTGGATGACATGAATGATAACACCTCAGGTACAGGTCCTTAAAGTTCACAAATCACTCTGCAGCACCCGGTCCCTGGGGTTCCTCCCTAGCCCTGTCTTGGCCTGTCCTTTCCTAGCCCTGCTACGAGCTCGTCCCAGCCTGGTTCTGCCACGGAGGGCCTCTTCATGTGGCTGTGGGCTGAGGTAATGGGGCTCCCCCTCATCTCACCCAGCGGAAATCCCTAAATTAAAAAGACCCAAGGGTGACATCAACAGCTGGCGTAATGACGTAATGTCCCGCAAAGGGCTGTTGCATGTCTGTCAGAGGGTGAAACAGAGAAACAGAGAGAGACGAGAAGAAAGCAAGCAGACTTGGGGAATCAGGGTGGGATAAAAGAAAAACACAGGGGGTGGACCTTCATCACAGCGGCTGTTCAACGCAATGGATTAAAATGAAATAATGCAGAATGTTATCGAGATATCGGCTGTGATCATTGGCATAAGAAACACCAGTATTGATGCTAAATGTCTGCCTAAGATGCAAACAACATGACAGAAGAAGTGCATTAACATAGTCACTGTCCGCTGTTTTAAGGGGTCCGGTTCCAGATGTAAATTTCCAATTCATTTTCTCTTCTGATGATTCACAAAATCCTTGGATCACATGTTTTAAGCCAAGCCAACCAGCTAGGAGGTGAATCATAAAAAGATTCAAAGATTTTGATCTGGATAAAAAAGAATAAAGGGAAATAAAACAAAAAGACTAAGGTACAAGACTGTGTGCATAACGACTGTAATTTTAACAGAGAAGGAACTACTCATCCCATAAAGCACTGCAAATCCCAGATTCCACAATGAACAACATCCATCCAGATTTTTTAGATTTGTGTGTGTGTGTGTGTGTGTGTGTGTGTGTGTGTGTGTGTGTGAGTAGTAAAGTTTTGCACTCTCTTTCTTCTTTTCCACCTGCCTGTTTTCACTCTCTCTGTGTTTATACTGCACTTTGCATTTAATCATTAATTACTATTATTCTCTGGCTCTCTTCCACATTTGTCCTATTCCCTCCTAGGATTGTTATGTTATGTCTCATAACCTAAAATCCTATGGAGACTATGAATGGGATGTTGAATGTTCTTCAAGAGCCATTCCTGAAGACTACTCAAAGAAATGACAAGAAAGATTGTCTAAGACCGTTCAGGCTGTGTTGGGGAATAAAAGTGGTCATACCAAATACTGACTTTCAAGCTCATCTGTTCGTTCATATACTCTATTTCCATGAATGTGTTGTTTCACATGTTTTGCTGCAGCTACTTTCCATTTTCCTAGTCAAATATAAAGACTAATTAGCACTTCAGTGGCAACCAAAACAGTATACATTTTTGTGTGGTGGTACTCAACATCCACTTTTAAATGCACTGAAGTGAAAGCGTCTAGAAGATGACAGGTGTGCTTGACCTCACAAACAGAGCCTGTTGTGAATTCTCAGACCCTTGCATGTTTCCTTAATGGCAGCCACTGCTCAACAGAAAGGCAGGCAACAAGACAGCATGGACTCTTGGCCAGCCTTGCATGCAGGGCTGCCAGCTGCCTCTACCAGTCTGCATTTACTAGGCCCAAATTAGAGGCCTACAGTTGAACTTGGCCTTTAACAAAGAAAAAGAAAGAAAATAAAAAACAAAAATCCTTTAATGACACTACTTCACAGATGCCATGACCTCTGCTCATTTTTGCTAACGGCTGCTTGGAAATGATGAGAAGAGCTGCATTCAGAGTCTGATTTTACAGTAAAATTACAACACTCATTTGTATCTTAAGGCTTATATGATCGTGTCTGGCTCTTGCCATGACATTAAACATGTTGATGCATGGGAGTGTACAATCATAATTACTAAAGCAGATAATAATCCCAAAGCTGAGGCAAGCAGGCTCATAAGGAGTGGCTGCTTTTAGTTTCCTCTTTCTGATGCTCTGAGGGCAACCACCTCGATGGTCACAGTGTCTATGATTTGCATAGTCGGCAAGACTAAGCATTATCTTCTATTTTAGATATGCCCACACAACTTATGATCGGATGGCTGTGAACGCTCCCTGTGCCACCATTGGTACCATTTACCACTTCGAAACACTCCGCTGTTGGACTATAAACAGCAACCAAGACAGACTGAAACGTCTTCATTTGGTTTTTGTATGGCCCTGAGAAAAAGGGGCCTGGGAAACCAAATCACTGAGCCTCTATTTCACAGGCACTAGAAACCACAGGGCACACAAACAGTTCCCCACAGACTGTTAACAATGCTCACTCCTCCATTCCTCCTCCTCCTCCTCATCTGTCTAGATCTGTTGCAAAACTGACGAGGACATGTCCCTCGGTTCCTTTGTAGCCACGATTAAAGGCATTCCTTTCCAGCTCAATCAAAGACTACCCCCAAAATATTCCCAGGCATGAATTTAACAGCCTCAAAAACAAATACATGGAAAGAAAAAGGGGAAAATAAATAGTAGCTACAGTGAGAAGTCAATAATATTTTTCCCCCTCACTTAGCCCTGCGGATCTTCTTTTTTCATCTGCCAATAACCAGCAAGCGAGCGTTCTAGTTCATCTGTTGCCAGCAGGGAACCGGGCCTATGCAGTTATGTCAGTATGCGCTAAAAGGGGGAAACAGAAAAGGCTTGCACCTCTTATCAAGCTACCGGTCAATTAACAGCTGTGCAGGTCACAGGGCTTCTGAAAAACTGGTGGCCAATCAAAATACATGCTCGTTTAGTAGGAGGTGAAACAAACACTCCAGTAAGTGCTTTTTCTGTTGTATGACTCGAGACTAGGAGTGAGGAAGGTAAAAGGTTTAATCAATTGAACTCTGCCTCAGGGCCTAGAAAGCCTGCCAAGTTAGAGAATATCAAGGAAGAATTCAATCAACTCTGCCACATGCAAACATGCAGATACACACACACCCAGTGGGTGAATACATTTTCAATGCCAGCTGATAGGGTGAGAAAAAAGTCAGCATGTGATCCAGTTTTTTTTTTTTTTTTTATTGTGACCACAGCTTTTTGTTTCTAAAGTTAACCATGTTCTAAACTGCTGTTCAAAGTGATACTCAATACTTGTTTGCACGACAGGTCTAATTAGACTCGCTTCTCTCGGCAGACGAAGGCAAATGTTTGTTTAAGCAACAGGCAACAGGTGTTGTGGATGCTACGTGACCCATTAAGCTAATTTCCAGCTCCATATTTTTATTCTTGGACTATGCTGAAGTAGCTTTGCTTGATTTACACTTGAAAATAATCCCTCCTATGCTGTGCATATACTGTTCATCCAAGCTCTTTTAAGTACTCTCCCCTTCATTATAGTTATTATGTAACTAATTATATTAATGATATTCTACAATAACAGGAAAAAAAAACAGTGAAAATGAGCATTCAGAACAGTTAGAAGCCCGAGCTACTGTAACAGTGTATATAGAATACTATAAAAGGGAAATATATACAGGTCCTCTTCAGAAGAAAAGGGAGCCTGAGTTGGCACGAAAGACTGAAACATTGACCCTTTGGGAGCACATCAGGTAGCACGTTTGCTTTAATTCTGTGTGTGAGAGCATGGGCAAATGAGTGAGAGCATAGCTATGTATTGTTGCTAGAGGCACCTGAACATGTGCTTGCATGTGAACCTCTGTGTGCAAAAGTTTGTGCCTGCTGATCGACAGTTTTGGTTCTGCAGAGGAGTGAGTAACTCATCTCTGGGTGCAGGAGCGTGTGTCGGAATCTCAGCAATTGCTGTAGGGGTGGGGGCGTTGAAAGTCTAGGTGCTGAGCCTTTTCTCAAATGTCAAATCCTTTCCCTGTATCAATAATCGTAACACACACACTGTGGTCAGTGCCATAGATAACACAGATACACGCTGCTCAATCAGACTTCATGTATCTACACTAATTAGATTTACATAAAAAACTGATATAAGAGCAGTGCCCAGCGCTGAGGGGAGCAGAGCGGTCTTTCTCTGTCAGAGCATCTGGAAAAGTACACCCTGAGGCCCTCGCCTTGTCTCTCTTTGCAAATGCAAACGAACAGAAGGTATTACTGCTTTGGTCCTGTCAAAACAAAAGACGTGTCATCTTTCCTCCCGCTTTATTGACAGTGTCAGACCCATATCCAGTAACGGTTACCACAGAGAATGACT